ATAGAGATACTCGTTTCAAGTATCGTAAAGAATATTTTATTTATGATTTTTTGCGTGTTTAAATTTTTTCGCAAGCGAATAGAGGAACAATCTATCCGCAAACAAATAAAATTCCGGTTATTATTCCGGTTAAATGATAACAAAATCGTTTCGCAGATACACAATGTGTTTTCTGTCGGTGTTTTTGTTTAGTTGGCAAATTTGTCACGAAAGAAATGTACATACCCGAGTCACTAAAAATAATTTATGATGTTATGTCACGCTTTATTGAAACAGTAAGCCGCGATTTCTTTTTTATCGAGTACACGGTTTGCTCCGCGGTTCGGCTGTTTCGTGCCAAATGAAATTCGTAGTACCAACGAATCAGGAAACAAGCGTGTATCACGTTCTCTATAGCAAATTACACGTGATATCGTAACGACTCGGCGTATCGAAAGCGATGAACCGTGGTAAGAACGTTTTTAGAGTTAAACTCGCTTTAATGCTCTAATGCCGATTCTCGTGGAATTGCATATCGTGCGATTCACGTTATAATTAATATTACGCCGATCTGGTGGTAAATTTGTTCGATCTCTATAGGAATAGAGGAATTTTAAGAGGACGACAACGCGCAATAAGATTTCATTTGTAATTGAAAAAAGGAAAAAAGAAAAATACGAGAATTCGCATCGAATACATTCCTCTTCCTCCTCTCGTCTCAGGCATTTTTCCCATACGCGTAAGAACACTCGCCACAACTGCGATTTACTGCCAGCTTGGCGTACGTGTGACGTCGACAGAGCAGTGGCCTTTGCATCGGTAAAACCAGATAGCACGAAGCTTCTCTCGATACGCGACCATGACTCGAATTTTCCACAATTTTTGCTAATATTCCTTCTCTAATCTCGCGTCATCGTTGTCTTTTCCTTTTTCTTTTCTCTCTTTCTTCCGCAACTCGATTTTTAAGAGACAAGTTACAAGTGTACAAGAAGCGCAGTCGACGAAAACGATTCGCGTAGTTCATAAAACTCGGGGAGCTTGTCTCCTCCGACGGTGATAAAAACAAAGTATGCAACATCGTCAGATAACGACAATCAAAAGAGGCGTTAAAAATTATCTCACCGACCGCGTCTCGAGTATTGAGCAATTTACGGACGCATCACGTTGCTCACGCTTAATACGTTTCTCGCGAACGATGCACTCTTTTACGATTACAGTTCGATGTACGTGTCTCGCGTTAATTAATAATACCAGCGAAATTTATTTCAAAATTTCTCGCTTCGCCTTCGTAATAAATTTAATTTCTCGATGAATCTTTCAACCAAAGGAATAAACACGAAAGATAAGCATGCATTTTTCTTAATTTTCGAAATAACTTCATCGAATCCGACGAAACTTCCAAACTCGCTGCTGCTTTTCGAAAGTACAGAAGAAAAATAAATAAGGAGCAGGAAATTTTTCCGCCACCTCAATGCTCATCCATCAAAAATCAGGCAAAGTTGGAGAGGTCGATCTTCCTCGACGAAGATAACAGAAATTCGTGGAACGATCTCGAGGGCGGTGCGCGCTGAGAATCGGTCGGCCGCTTTCCTCGTTCTAATCGTGGCCAAAAGCGTCGTTTCCCTCGTTTCCGCGAACCGGCCTCGTATTGAAAAACGAAAATCGCGCGCGCTGCGTCACGCGTGAAAATCTGGCCGCGCGTCACCTCTCTGGAACGCTAAAGGAACCACTTCCACTTCGTTCTCACGCGTTTTCATACATATATGTATACACGCACAGATGTCGCCATTTAATGACACTTAGTTAAATGCGATAATTTTCTGCACTCGTATCGACCCAATTATATTTATATACTTTCATCTCACGCGGTAAGATTGATTTTTAAATTAATTCTTCTCGAACGATTTTTCTTTCCTCCGAAAATTCAAGTTAGATTGTCGATCAGCTAATTATATAACGATCGATCTATACGCTTTGGTGAAACTTCGCCACGATGATAAAAAGTATACACGCACGATACACGAGAGGATTAAAAAGAGCGAAGAGAGGAGAGGGAAAAAGAAGAGAATGAAAGAAGAAGAGTACTCTCTCTCTCTCTCTCTTCTCTCACGGGACGCGTATTTTTAGAGCGGCTGGAGATATTGCTCGGAATTATGCAGCCGTCGTGAGCGTTAAATCGCAGGCAAGGATGCCGATCTTTGACCTTGCCGAGCAACCTCGCGTCTCCAGCTAATCCTCCGTTCCGCGTAATCGCGGCTTTGCATCGCGGCGCGTGTTAAACGGACCGAAGCGTAATGTCGAAGGGGAGGGAGAGGAGAGTGTGGGAAAATGCCGAGTGATTAGGCCGAAATCGAGGTGGTTGATCGTGTGTTCGATCTCGCGTTTCGAGGATTGCGCTCTGCGTTGCGGGGGATGGAGCCGAGCCGTGTAATGGAAATTTGGAAATTTGATTGAGATTCGATTTCTTTTTTCTTTTTTTCTTTTTGAAGAGGAATTCGAAGTTTTAGGAAGGAATTTCAGTTCGGTAGTTTTTTTTGTAATTTTGAATAGGTTGGAGAGATGATAATTGTGTCGTGTTAAACGGTTGCGTTGCTTTATTCTTAAATATATATATTTAGTTTTTTTTTTTTTTTTTTTTCGAAATAGATAAGTCGTCGAAGTAGGTGACGCGACGATAATTTTAAATAATCGTGTAACGAAGAGATACAATAATTATTTATATCGAGAAATTGTAGTTACAAAATAATAAGGAATTAGCTTTTAAAATGTTTCAACGATATATGTTTCATTTAAATAACAATACTAAAAGTAATATCATTGAATTTATTACTTCCTTGAACAATACTTCTTCCTTCGTGTTTACTAGATTTACATAATTATACACTTTTGATATTTATGACTTCAATTTTTAACGGTCATTATTTTGTACATAAAACTACAGAGAAACACATGTGTACTTATCGCTCGGCTGAAAATATGTAAATAAATTAACCGTATGAAAAAGCAAGAAACGAATTTCACAGGTAAATAGCCACGTGCAATAAAAATTAGATAAGTATTGAATTAACCGGCGTAAGTCACTTTTGACCCGTGTCACCCGTGCTTCGGCAGGCTTGCTAACCAAGGAAAAAAGAAAAAAAAAAAGAGAAAAAGGAAAAAAAGCAAAAAGGAAGAGAATCTCATACGTTAAAACCTAAAACAAATATTTATCTTGCAATAACTCTCGAAAGGAGGATAAAAAAAAAGGAAAAAGAAGAAGAAGAAGAAGAAGAAGAAGAAGAAGAAGAAGAAGAAGAAGAAGAAGAAGAAAAATATAGCAAAAATACTCGAAACAAAAAAAAAAAAAAAATAAAAGAACGAAAAGAAACGCGGTCATCGATGGTGCACGATCGATTCCTCTCGTCGCAATGCTCCCACAACGATATTCCATTCTTCCGAGAAATTAAACGGATCCGGCAAAAACGCATCATCCTTGTGAAATATACAAGAGGGAATACGGCCCGATCCAACGACCACTCTTCTGAGATGAATTTTTGCCGTATCCCGGTCAGTAATTCTTTTAACATTTCTCTCTCCTCTCTCTCTCTCACTCTCTCTCGTTCTTTCTCATTTTCTCCTCTTTCTCTCACTCACGGAAAGTCCCGGCGCGGACCTGCAAACCAGTTCAGCCGGGAATCTTTCCGATGCTCTGTTCTCTTGGACACGGAAGTGAAAAACGCGGCGAAAGACGAAGAGAAGAAATGGTTCGTAGCATCGTTCAAGGTTAACCACGTGGATATAGGCGTAGCCACCGACCAATGGCGTAGCCCAAGGATCGATGTACCCAGCGAACAACCGTTAAGCCTAATGAACGGCATTTACACCGTGTACATTTTTTACACAGGACCGATTATTAACCGTTCGTCCGCCCGGATCTCTCGTTCCGAGATCCTTTTCGAGGATCGAGGCTTCTGTTGACTCTGTCGATTCGCGTCGTACATTCAGGTGTCACTTTTTCCAAGAAATTTCCCTACGTGTTTATTCTCATCCCGCCTGTTATTTTTAGCCAAACTCGCTATTATTCCGATTCTGGCCATGTGCCAACAAAGCAACTCGAGTATTATCCACGGATTTCAAAACGAAGCCGGTTAAGGACGGTGATCTCCGTGGTGTATCGCGGCTCCGTTGAGATATTTCGTATTAAGAGAAAAAGGATTTTGATTGAAATTAAACGATATGCGAAAAAAACTTGTGATTGACAATTTATCGTTTTAATTAAAAGAAAAAATTAACGAATCGAGCTTGCCCAAGCATCGCGAAGCAAAATATTAAAATTAACTCCACTTTTGCATATTCAAACCGGTACCGATGATTTGCGAAATAGCAGAATTTTTTACACGGTGAACAAACGAGTCATCGACTGAATTTTTTGAACTGCATAAAGATGATAAACCTGATAATCCTTTTCTTTCCATCCGATGATTTTAAAAGATTGATCTATCCAGCAGAAATTCAGTTCTCGTTTAAACGCGAAGATAAGAATTCAAAGTTCAATTATAAACAATTCTTGTAACGATTGTAATTAAAATTAAATATTATCAAATATCATATCCCCATCGCGATCTATCATCCGTCATCCGTTTAAGCATCCCTTTGCAAGTACATCGATCAAATGCAAATTTTATTTTCACATTTTTACACAGTAAAAATTGGCAAAGAAATTTGTTCAAATGAAACGAAAAAAAAAAAACAAAAAAGAATCGACTGCAAATTTATCTAAATTAAAATCTATATCTCGAAAATTAATCTCGATGATAAATAAAATTCATTAAAATGAATCGAATATATCGGTGGCGATTAATCGAATATTTTTCAAAAACACGAGATTCTCGTCCCGAAAGGAATAAAGGAAGATGAACGAGATGGGATATTTGGCGGCTTCCTTTTCTACGCAATCTGTGTTTTCTTTCGCGCGTGTATACGGCCGAGACGACGGAGATAGACACGAGAAAGGGTATGTATAACCTTGAGGACATAGTTACCTTCTCCGTTGGTGGTAAGGGAGCCGGGAAGCGGCAGGGGTGTGCTGTTTTTGCACCGACGTTGATCCCCTTCGCTGGGCGCACGATCTGAAAATAAACGGCAACCCCTTTAGAATCTTCCCTCGTGTATTAGGATCACTCTCGCTTTTCCTTCTTTTTCTTTTTCGATTTCTCGTTTTCAACCGTCCCTTCACGAGCCTCGTGAAGAAAAATCGTTTGTTTCAACAATATTAGAATCCGATTAAACAATTAAATTCTACAATTCTACTTGTAATCTGAGAGACCATTGATACGAAATTATTAAAATTTCGAATACGCGGATTTCCTTTTTTTTTTTGTGAAATGCTTCATCTTCGATCTTCGAGACTTACTCAGGAGAACTGTACCAATAGAATATAATTAAAAGTTTTTCTGATCGATCAATCGATTCGAACAGAAATTCTCAGATACGCGAATTGGGAAGGATTGGGTCCCAAACTCGTTTGTTTCCCCATCTGGAACTAGTTAAAACGGGTTAAACAACGAAAGGGGATGAAACGTCTGAAAGCTCGAATATAGAATCAACGCGTTCTATTTATAAGTTTCGTATCCCGAACTGACCAGAAAACCAAACACCGCGACCGGTGTTTCGAAGAATCGGTAATGGAGTGCTAAAACATCCCAAGAGATGGAATAGGCCCTGGTGGAATCCTGTGTCGCGGTTCAGCCGAGCGAATATTCGATCGCGAATGTCGGGGATCCGCGTCTTATTTATGGACGTGAAAGAAAGAGGGAAGCGTTACGAATCTTCCTAGAACCAGTATGATGCAAACAACGTGTATATAACGCGTATATAACTGCGCGCGAAAACATTAAGCCGCATCCTCATCGAACCAAGATTTTCTTGGCTGGGATTATTCTCCTAGTGGAAAACTTCTTTTGTCCGTAAAGCGAGGGAAAGAAAAAAATTTGTTTTTTTTTTTATTTAAATTTCAAATCTAAATTTAAGATGCGCTTGGCTCGTTCGTGGTGAGGAGGATGCGAATTTTAAGACTTTGTTTTGTTTCGCTCTCGAGAGTGTATATTGAATATCTTCTGTTTCGATGATAATAATTTTTATTATTGGTCGAAGAGATATGAAGAAATATAAGGAAGAGGAATGTTAAACAAAAGGTTTTTTTTTTTTTTTTTTTTTATTGTCATTTCAGTGAGGACGAATGCTACTTAATGCTACCAAGTAATGCCATAATCGTAAAAACTGCCATGGGCAGAATATCGTAGTTAGCGATGGAAAATGCAAATACGATGATTAATAGCACCGGTGGTAATTTCCTCGTTTGGCCTTTTCGCCTTGGTATTGAAAGGATATCTTCTTTTGTTGATTCCTGTTTTAATGTATTTTTTCTTCTTCTTCTTTTTCTTCTTCTTCCTCTCCTCCTCGCGATGCGTTAATAATAAAAGATTAATCTGGTGTTTTTTAAATGTAAATTTTGAAAAGATTAAGCGGCCAGCTCTCGTGTAATCTCGATGTTATATTTTTGATACGAAGTTTGAATTTGAAGGTAGTCTTTGAGACTGAGAAGTTTATTTTATTACCCGTTTATTTTAATAAAATGGAAGGCTAGCTTACATTCAAAATATTTGATGTAAAATTAGGTGAGCTTTTAGGTTAGTTTATATGGCGCCAATTTGTTTTCTTTAATTCCTGCAGCGAGATAGTTAATAGGAAAATAGGAAATTTTGTTCGAAACGATGAGGATAAGATTAGAAACATTTTTCTAATTATTCGTAATATAATATAGAATCTAATATCGATCTACTACATGCCTGAATAATTTTTAATATTAATCATAGATAGATATAGATGACATCAAACTGAATATAATTTCTCGACATTGAAATTTTTATTTTATAAATACTTTATAAACTAACAAGGAGATAACAATATTTAATAAATTGAAAATTATATTTCAAAAATTATCCAATCGTCTATCCAATCTCGATATTATTAAAAAATGATGAAAATATTTCGAAATTCAATTCGAGAAAAATTGGGAAACACTTAAATCGACAGAGTAACATAATAAAACGGATATTTCTGAATATCGGTACTAACTCCACAAAGAAATCATTGGATCAGAGTAGAAAACACGCGAAAAGCTATTTTTACAATGCATCGTAGGGGCGAGTGTTACGGTATTGCCAGATACCAGGACAGATGATTAATGACGGAAGTAATTTGCAAGAATTCGAAGCGATCGAGAAGAGAGATGGAGCAACGACGCGACGCGATGTAAAGGATAGTTCCAAGAATTCCTAGGTTCGGCGAAGATTCTCGAGGGAAATTTTATCCATGAACCGCGAGGAAGGGTGACGAGTGTGTATCGTCTAAAATAATGGCCAGTCGTGGGTGGATAATTCATCGTCAGCGTAACACATAGCGCTTCTCTGGTTTAACATTCGAAACGACCAACTGATTCACTTGTAAGAATGCCTATCTTCCATCTTGGGCACCTGTACGACACCACGTAGGCTCGATTATATTTGTCCACGTTAGAAATTCTGATCTCGACTCCTCTCGAGAACTTGTACGTCCGCTTCATTGATTATTAATTGTTTACTTTGGGATTTGGATTTGAAGAAAGGAATTCGGTATGCAATCGTATATAATCGCGGGGATTTCGTTTTTCATTTTATCCTGCGAAGAACTGCGTTCCATTGTCGGAGACATGTTTTCTCGAGTCGATCGACAATTTTTCGATGGAAACTTATTCAATCTCGATATTAATACAACGATACATTGTAAAGGGAAAAAAAAAAAAAAAAAAAACTAATCACATTAGCATAAAATTATTTACTTTTGTCGCGTATGTCTCCATGTATATATTCGAATCTTACTTTGAGATATGAAATGCTTCGTTAAAACTTCGTGTAAGCAACGAATCAATGCGCGACCGAGTAAAGTTCAGAAAGGAAAATCGTATTATTGGAGAATAAGAGGATATCGATCGTCAATGATGGGATGATTAATTGAAATTTAGATGAAATCGTTAAGTGTTCCGCTCGCAAAGATAATAAAACGTTACGCAACAATATGTTTCCAACACATTCCTTCGATCCTGTATTTTCATTCGCTTGTGCAATTTTAAGTTTACATAATTTATTTAACATTATCTTTTGCAGATATATCCAATACGCGTGCGTGCGCAGCACGTTTCTACGAATGTTATTTCAAACTTCATAATTTCTTCACAATTTCTCCGTAAAAGAAGTTAAATGCACGCTTCTATCTATTATTCCAACTACAATAGAAACGCGCATCTTGTTACGAGATAATAATACGATTAATACGAGACGATTCTTCCAAAATGATGAAAACTAACGTTAGCATACGTTTTCACACGTTCAATCAATGCCTTAATGTAGATATTTTTCAAACGAAGTTTACAACGATGATGCATAATTTTCATTATATATATATTATTAAAAATGTGGGTTGATGTGAAAAGACGCTATTCATCTTCATTAAAGCGCTATTCCTCGATCGAGGAAAAAACAGGCGTAGAATAAATTAAATATATGGCTGTATAATTTTATTACTCTTTACGTCTTAATTAAGATTCTCCATTAGCGTTAAGTCTTTATTCGATAAACACATTCGTAACGCATTGTTTTCGCAAATTTCGCCTAAAATTTTGTCAAGTATTTTGATTAAATTGGTAAATGTAAATTTTTCGTACGAAACAATTGATTAAATAAACTCTCGAGTTATCAGTCATCGAATTGCCACGTCAGAATTGAATATGATTTGAATTCTCGTTTCGATTCATAAAAAATTGGGAAATTCGTCGAATGTTTCATGCAATAAACTTCATTTTTCTTTCTCGTAAAATCTTTCTTATCCAATCTTAAATTTCCAGGCACGAATCGATTCCAGGCACAAACCGAGCCACACACGTGGAGTTCCACGACAAGAATACCGGATACTTTCCTCGTATCAGAGCCAACCAAAGCGTTGTTTTAAAGATCATTACAGCCAGGTTACTTTAGGAGAAACGTTACAGGCGTTATTAACAGCACGATGTAACGCCACATAATTTTATACAGGCGAAACGAGCCCGATCACGCGACCGACAGTTTTTCGTCGTCGTTGAGGGGAAAAAAAAAAAAAAAAAAAAAGAAAAATAAAGAAAAGAGAGCAGAGACATTTTATCGCGCAAGAAAGTGAATAATAATATCTTGAACAATGAAAATCCTTTTGGTTAAAAAGAGGAAAGATTGTTCGGATTTAAATTTAAAAAAAGTTGATACAAATTTGAGAAAAATATAATCGTTTCGATTCCACTTAATTATAACTTGATTCAAATCGGAAAGAATTATTATGAATCGTTTATTAAAACTGTGCAAAAATATAATTATTATTTTGATATTCGACATCTTATACAAATTGCTTTCGAGTGGGTTTCGCTTTCAGAGGTTGACGACGAAATTTTTCACGCAGATTCCAATTCCTACGATCCCAAGTATCGCCGAAGGACTAATCGTTTTAGGGTGAGACCGTGGTAGATGGGATTCATTGACTAAAAGAGAGGATGACGTCAGAGGACAACAAGTCGGACGAGAGGGCGGTCGCATTCTTCTCGAATTCCTGGGGCTCGTTCCTACGGGAGAGAAGCATTTCCTGCCGCTAACAGAGAGCTGGAAGGCAGTAACAGTAGCAAAAGGAGAAACGTAGCCGCGAGATTCAACATCCGTCAAGTATTTTTAGGAGGGATTTCATGGAAATATCCTCGGTCCCAATATGCGTCACGAGCTCGCTTCGGCCTCATAGTTTCGCTCCTTCGCCACTCGATTCTCGGCGAATTTATTTCGAGTCGAAAAAGAAAAAGGAGGTGGAGGGAAATAATCGAACTAATCTGTTAAGCGAATACAAAAGAGATTCGTATTATAATAGCTGGGAAAAATTTAAAAAAAGATTTATCGAATCGCAAAATATTTTTAGAGATTCTTTATTTTCTTCTTATTTTAAGGAAGGTCAGGAAATGAGAAACATCTCTCTCTCTCTCTCTCTCTCTCTCTAGACATATTTTAAACGTACAAAAATATAT